TTAGCTTTTTTGCCTTCTCATCTGTGATCATTAAGAGTTTCTCATGCACTATGAGCAGTACTGCCCTTCCACAAGACCCTGGTTGAAGAGTAGGTGAAAGAAAAAGTTGCAATGATACTTCGGGCATGTTTCCTTCACTGTCTTGTATCTTTTGAAGGTTTTATTAATCTCTGTAGGACATTCCATACAAAATCCCAGAACTGTATAAAGCCACAGGAGTCTTAATAAAAACAAGGTTTATTAAGAAAGGAGACAGAACACTGGAGAAGTGGACTGTGTAACAAGTCTAAGCTGAAATGTTGCTAAAGCTTGTCTTGATTGGTTTTCTTCATGTCGTTAAAAGAAAGTAAAATACCTTACACAGCCTCTGATTGAACTTGTCTGTCTCCCCTCTGACTACCTCTGGCAACTACTAAATCCAGGAGAGTTTCTGGTATCAAATGTCGTCTTTTGAGGGTGCTTTTGCTGTATATTTGCAGCTATCTTTGCTCTTCTCATCCATGCGAGTGTTGACAAGTGCTGCTCTGGGAGGGGTAGCCCCCATGTTAGCCCTGCCTGCTGCTGGATACCTCTGCAGAAGGACAGCCATGGAGATGCGCAGTCTTCTTCAACTGCAGCTCACCCAGTGTCCGTAGGCTAGAAACATAGACATCTGAAATCATAGTGCAGGCGTCAAGTCAGTCCAGAGTAGTGCTTAGTATTGAACTATTAATTGAACTATTTAATTCTTTATCTTCAGTATAGCTGTAAGTTCTTTTGAAAGTGTTACACAAATGTGGCTCCTCATCCTTTTTCCGTATCTTGTTTTTGAACAAGCAGATCACAGCTCAAGTCTGTCTACCCTTTCTCCTAAATTATTGACCATGACTTTACATAGTAAATTGCACTGGCTACAAATGTTTGCTTGAACATAATTCATGACACAGTTTAAAGAGACAGCACTTACATATCATTTTCTCAGTCAGTAAACAACTGATGTTAATTTTGGCATTTCTCAGCTTCCGAGTGCTTAGTTTTGATAACATGGTGTTCTTTTCAATACTTACAGTCCATTTAAATAATTTTCTTATTTTAAAAAAAGCAACAAAACTTGCACTGAGAATGAAATGACATCCTGCAAAATCCTACTGACCCTCCCTTTCTCTGGAAGACTCCCACTAGTGAGCCTTGCGAGCATTGGAAACTAGATGAACAGCATCCTCTGCCGTCACATCTGCTAAGTGGCACTAGCCATTGCAGATGGATGATACGCACCTTTGCCATTTCCCGCGCAGGAAGGAGGGTGCATCTGGGGTGAAGGATGGGATGGCAGATGCATGGTTGGGTTCATGGGGAGAGTTAGGAAAAAACAGAACATCGTGTGTGGAAATCTTCCCTCTGCTGTGTTTAGGTCAACCAAGGAATCATCAAAATTGGGCATCTTTTTTAATATACACAGCAAAAAGGAAGTACCAGAGACCTTGTTGGTTTGATTCTAGACCTTCTTAATGAAAAGCTTGGGAAAAAATAAGTTAAGCATGAGCAGAATTTTTTTAACATTGTTCTAATGAAGAGTATCAATAAATAAAAAAAATCAAGCCTTGAGCAGATGCTTGGCATGGAAATTGTACTGAAGATTGAGTTTAGCAAAAGTATAAATGTCTGAAAACAGGCTCTTACAGTAGAATTTTTAGGCCACTTGTGTACAAGTTGTAGGTCCTAGATTTAGTCATGTAGAAATAGCTTCAGAGTCATTTTCTCTCACATTTCTGGCATTATGGTTTTTCTTATTCTTTCTGATTTCGTTGTGTTGTTTTGTCCTCATAAACACTCCTAAACCATTTGTATTGCCTCATCCGTAACCATTTCTTAGGCTTACTTAATTTTTTTTTTAAAGAATTCTCTGCCGTCCAAGAAGACAGAGAAGATAACTGGCTAAATATATGTAACACATAACATAAGTTAATTTTATTGATGCTTGGAGAATTGTCTTGTAAATCTCAGTCAAAATGATTGTGGTTTTAGTTAAAACTGGTAAGGCTGGATCATTGCCTTATTTAATGGCTTTACTAGAGCACAGTTTTCTTCTGCTTTCTCTATATTGTAAGGTCATTAATGAATCATTAGCTATTGCTAGTAATTACTGATCTCTTGAGAATATTGGTTTAATTATATAGGAATCGTAAGTGGAAGATACAGTTACATATTCTACAATGTAGGTAGTAGTACCTTGGTGTATTATGGCTTTAAAGAATCTGCATTTTTTTGTAGATTTTAATTGCTAAGTATGCCTGGTAAAATGTGAATTATTGTATTACTGTATGTGTAAAAGGTGTACTATTGTGAGCCTCACAGTCTGCAGGTGTAACAGATGTAAGGGAAGATTAACAGGACAGAACAATAATTAAACCACAGGCAGCCATCTCAAAAAAAAAAATCTTGTCCAATGCAATTATTAAGTGCATTTTAAATTCTTTGCAAATATTTGTAAAAGCAATAAAAACGTGTTAGTTTGAAAGACAGCTTTTCGGTGTGGGCACTTCAAGGAATTAAGATCCCTTTTTTCCGAATA